GTCACGGTGCCGAGAAAAAAGGAAAGGGAGCAGCTGGCCTAAAGGGGAGGGCCTATTCCACCCCTAACTGGTCTATCCTTCCAGAGAATGAACACAGTCTTCAACAAGCCCATTCATAGGATACTTCCCAAAATCAAAAATAAACCTTACATCAAGTGGCCCCCGAGGATGTTTGGAGACCCGTCGACAAGGAATGCGGCCTTCTGTTGTTCGTATCATAAAGATATCGGTCATTTGACGAAGGATTGCAAGGTTTATAAATCCTTCTTTGAACAATTGGTGTGAGACAGACAACTAGGGGAATTCATCGACAGGGGTTATCCCGGCGGGTCGACGAGGGAGCGAGTCGAGATGCCAACTGAGGTAGCACTCGTGATTGATGTTATTCATGCCTGCACAGTGGAGAGGCCTACATACAACTCCCTTCGCGCTGAGTTACAAAGGGTCTCTCAAGTAGCTAGGGTGGACGAAAGAGGTGTTGAGCGGCCGCCCAAGAAGCTGCGGAGCAGTGCCGAGGTATCCAATTTTTTGATGCTGATCTCGGCGGGGTAGTCCTCCCCCACGAGGATGCATTGGTGATCACTTTGCGGGTCGGAAAGTTTGACGTCAAGAGGATCTTGGTGGACTCGGGCAGTTCTTCCGAGGTAATGTACGATCACCTCTTTCACAAGATGAGACTTTCTCAGGGGGATCTGGAACCCGTAAAAACCCCCCTCATCGACTTCAATGGTTCCAGCGCCTTGCCCCTTGGAAAAATCACCCTCATGGTACAGGCGGGGGTGGTGACCACGCTAATAGAATTTGTGGTAGTGGACTCCGACTCCCCTTATAACGCTATTATGGGGTGATCGTGGTTGCATGCAATAAAAGCGGTTCACTCATCATATCACCAGAAGATAAAGTTTCTAATGCTGCAGGGCATAATGAAAATCCAGGGTGATTAGGCATCGGCAAAAAGCTGTTTCTATGCTGTGGTGAAAATGGGAGTCAGCGGCCGAAGTCAGGAGCGTGATCCCGATGCGGTGGTTGCCAAATAGTAATCACAGAGCAATCGTCCAGGAGTGGACGAGCCCATTACAGACCCGGTCGACCGGTCTATTGAGGGCTTGGTGAAGATTCTCTTGAGCCCAGATAGTAGTGAGAAGTACTTTTTGATAGGAGAGTCACTCAGCGACGTAGAGAAAAATGATATGGCCTCATTTTTATGCCACAAATGTCGATGTCTTTGCGTGGACCCAGACTGAGATGACGGGGATAAGTGCCAAGGTGATGACTCATCAGCTCCATGTGAATCCCTCATTTAAACCGTTAGGCAAAAGGCCCGAAGAACGGTGCCTCATCACGCAAAGGCTGTGGATGAAGAGGTGGATAAGTTGTTGAGGGCAGGTTCCATCAAGAAGGGATAGTTTCCCTAGTGACTATCCAATACCGTGTGTGCCAAGAAGAAAGAAGGGAAATAACGAGTTTGCGTGAATTTTACGGACCTGAATAAGGTTTGCCCCAAGGACGAGTACCCCTTGCCCAAGGTTGATCAACTGGTAGACGCCACAGGCGCATCACCTTTATGGATGCTCGGACTAGATATCACCAGATTCCCCTACATGAATCAGATCAGGAGAAAACGACGTTCATCATGCCCCGGGGAATCTACTGTTACACGGTGATACCTTTTGGGTTAAAGAATGCTGGGGCGCCTTACCAACGTTTGATGAACAAAATTTTTAAAGACTAGCTCGACGAAACGATGGAGGTGTACATTGATGACATGTTGGTCAAAAGCAAAGAGGGGGCCGACCATCTCTATGATCTCGGGACGATATTCGCCATCCTCCGGAAGTATGGCCTAAAACTAAACCCCTCGAAATGCGCCTTTGGAGTGAGCTCAGGAAAGTTTTTGAGGTATTTGGTTACTCATCGGGGAATCCAGGTGAACCCTGAGCAAATACAAGCAATCTAGAATGTCCGGGTGCCTAAGATCATTAAGGATGTTCAGAAATTGGCCGGGATGTTGGCAGCCCTTAATAGATTTATTTCCAAGTCGTCCGATAAGTACAAATCGTTTTTTGCCAAGTTGAGGGGGGCAGCTAAGGGGGTTTGGGACAAGGAATGCGGTCGAGCTCTTGAAGGGATCAAAGAATACTTGAAACATTCTCTAACTTTATTTGTTCTAGCGGCAGGGAAAGTGCTTAGCCTTTACTTGTTCGTATCTCGAGACGCCGTGAGTGGAGCATTGGTCAGGGATAGAGAAGGGGCTCAAAGACCCGTGTATTTCATAAGCAAGACCTTGCATGTTTACAAAGAGAACTTTGTCGAATTTTTTTTTAAATAGAACAATTGGTATATATCATCTACTGAAATTTTGTTTGTTACACCAATATTTTGATATGAGATTCACATGTGTATTGAAAACTACATGCAATACCTAATTGATAGTAGTTGGTCGTTAAATGTTGAAATAGTGGATCTGGAGTAATGAAATGTACATTCTTTGATGTCCTCAATGCTCTTTTATTTGATATGACTTTTAATTAACAATTTTTATTTTTTTTTTGTTACTCCGTGCTTTTAGCCATGGACAATTACTAGTGCATATATATTAGATACTGTAGAAGATGACCTTCATGTTTCTAAAGGAAAAAGGAGTTTTCCTCAATCAGACATTACTCATGCAATTAACTACACAAATAAATGCAATAGACACAAAGATGTTTCAATGCAATTTTACTTGGATCAAACACTAATTTACAGCAAAGCAATCAGAAACAAGACCATCTCCAAGAGAACCTCAATTTTGGGCAGTCCACTTCAAAGACACTCTAAATGAGTTTGTCGGTGTAAGTCGCCGGAGGCCATAGAGCCCACTTTATGGAAGAATCTAATGCAGAGTATAGCTTGCAATCAGCCTTTGTATGACAGGTGAATCCTTGGTCCTCTAAGGGTGAGTGCATGNACAGGTGAATCCTTGGTCCTCTAAGGGTGAGTGCATGTTTTAGAGGCATGTATAAAATAGAACAGGTGCAATAGAATAAAAATAGAGTGAGAGAACAAGTATGGAGACTTACCATGTTGCTAAAGACCCAAGCTCATTACTTGGATTCTTTGGAGAGAAAATATGTCTTTGTTTTTGACTTGGTAATAATAATGATGTACCAAGACAACCATACTTCCAACTTTCTGATTAGTAATAAGTAATAACAAAGTTGAGTCTTGCAATAATCAATACAACTCAATTCCCTTGTCCCAATATGTTGCTATAATCAATGATAATTATATTGGGACATGTCATCGACCACTCCAATCATAACCTGAGCAGAAAATAGAAAAAGAAAAGATAATAAATCTGTCTTGCAAAGAGAAAGATGTAACTCAGCAGAAAATAGAGATATACCATGACATCGGGTAGCATTGCTAGGAAAGACGTTCTGTCCACTTCTTTGCCTCCAATGAATCTGTGTCTATAGATAACTTTGTAATTGATAAATCTGGTAAATTTTTAATTAACTTGCATCCAGAAATGTCCAAATATTCTAATGTTTGCAATTCCACTAGTCCCTGGATCTCAGTTAGTTTTTCACACCAAAAAACCACTAATACCTCTAATTCTTTTAGGCTTGACAAATCAGGTGTTTTTTCAATGTTGCATCCAGAAATGTCCAAGAATACTAAGGATTTCATTGCCTCAACTCCCCTGATCTCAGTTAAATTCTTAAAGCCACGAATTTTTAACTGCTTTAAATTATTTAGGTTTGATAGATCCAATACCCTTTCCAGTGATATGCAGCATGACACATCCAGTCTCTCCAAGGATTTCAAAACCCTAAGGCCCTCAACGTCAGCTAGCTTCTGGCATTCACAAAGAGTTAATCCTTTTAGCATTCCCAAGTTTGATAAATCAGGTAATCTTTCTAACGATATGCACTGTGACATGTCTAATGTCTCCAAGGATTTCAAAATCCAAAGGCCCTCATCCACAGCTAACTTCTCGCATTCACAGAGACCTAGATATTTTAGCCTTCCCAAGTTCGATAGATTGGGTAATCTTTCGATGGATATGCAATGACCCATCTTCAAAACTTCTAAGCATTCCAATCTATCCAGGCCTTGAATCTCGATTAGCTTCTTGCATCCCTCAGTAATTAATCTTTGTAACTTCTTTAAGTTTGACAAATCCGGTAATCTTTCTAGGGATTCACTCCATGATGCGTTCAAGTATCTTAAATATTCCAACTGTTCAAGCCCATCAAGCTTAGATAGCTTTTTACACATAGATACGTCCAACCTCATCAACAAATCTAATTTCCCCAGGCCTTGAATCTCCATCAGCTCAGAGCATTGAACAAGCTTTAAATCTGATAAATTCTTCATATCTGACAAATTTGACAATCTTTCCAGTGATTTACAATCCTCAATACATATTTCGAATAAACTAGAGGGAAGCCCAGGGATACATTGAAGATTTTTGCAGGATTGTACTGTGAATTTCTTGAGCCGAGATAGGGCAGNCAGTCTCTCCAAGGATTTCAAAACCCTAAGGCCCTCAACATCAGCTAGCTTCTGGCATTCACAAAGAGTTAATCCTTTTAGCATTCCCAAGTTTGATAAATCAGGTAATCTTTCTAACGATATGCACTGTGACATGTCTAATGTCTCCAAGGATTTCAAAATCCAAAGGCCCTCATCCACAGCTAACTTCTCGCATTCACAGAGACCTAGATATTTTAGCCTTCCCAAGTTCGATAGATTGGGTAATCTTTCGATGGATATGCAATGACCCATCTTCAAAACTTCTAAGCATTCCAATCTATCCAGGCCTTGAATCTCGATTAGCTTCTTGCATCCCTCAGTAATTAATCTTTGTAACTTCTTTAAGTTTGACAAATCCGGTAATCTTTCTAGGGATTCACTCCATGATGCGTTCAAGTATCTTAAATATTCCAACTGTTCAAGCCCATCAAGCTTAGATAGCTTTTTACACATAGATACGTCCAACCTCATCAACAAATCTAATTTCCCCAGGCCTTGAATCTCCATCAGCTCAGAGCATTGAACAAGCTTTAAATCTGATAAATTCTTCATATCTGACAAATTTGACAATCTTTCCAGTGATTTACAATCCTCAATACATATTTCGAATAAACTAGAGGGAAGCCCAGGGATACAATGAAGATTTTTGCAGGATTGTACTGTGAATTTCTTGAGCCGAGATAGGGCAGCAATCTCTATCGGTAAGGTGCTAATGTTGGTATTGTACAAGTGCAAGCTCTCCAATTTGGATAATTTCCCAATATCTCTAGGAATTTCCACCAGATACAAGCACTCATACACGAATAATGCCTTCAAATTCATCAAGTTGGAAAGACTTGGGAATTCGTCACATGTGACACGTAGAGTTGTTAAACTCGGGGGAAGCTCCGGCAGCGAGGAAAGCGCTAAGTTGGACACATCAAGGGTTTCAAGGCGAGAAAGCCCAGCAATGCTTGTTGGCAGGCTACAAATCTCGGTAGAATTTAAACGCAAGATCCTCAGAGAGGATAGTCTCCCAATATTACTAGGAATTTTCCCCTCCAAATCTTCACATAACGAGGCATTTATCTCTTCAAGCTTCTCTAAATTTACAATAGCATCAGGTAACCTTGTTATGCCAGAATATGAAATGTCAAGCACTCTCAAATTAATTAGATTCCCAATCATTGGGTCAATTTGCACCACATTTACACAACCGTCAAGAATCAATCTCTCTAAAGTTGCAAATGTGAAAATGTCAGGAATTTTGGTTAAGCCATAGCAACATGAGAGTTTTAGAACTTTCAACCTTTTTGCCACCTGTAAAACAAGAAAATAATTAAAAAAAGATCAATTTCGTNACTTTCAACCTTTTTGCCACCTGTAAAACAAGAAAATAATTAACAAAAGATCAATTTCGTGGAAGAATATGATGTGACAATAGAAACAAAAGCAAAGATTATTCCATAAGACCTTGATTTGACTCCAAACCCCCCAATCATCAGTGACTTTGCTGCTTGATAGATCAAGAATGACTAGACTCTTTAAATTAAAATTTGTTGGCGCAAAATTCCCTGGGCATCCATGCCAGTGAAGCCATCTTAACTTTGAAAGAAGATGATTAAAATCTCCAGCAAGGTCTGTGTATTGCATTTGGAGAAACCTTAAATTAGGAAGTTTCTCGAATTCTTCATATCTAAAACAGTGACGAGATTCTAACTCTGAGTAATCAAAGTCAAGACGGAGGGCTTCAACCATTTTGGTTCCCTGCCAATACAAAACGTTAAAATAAATAAAAAAGATTTATGGAGTCCAAACAAAAAGATGTGTGAATATTAATCATTGGTTTCACCTGTTTTTGAGAAAATTTGAATGACTATTTCAACCTTATACAAGCCTATTCGTATACTTTGGATTCATGTTCATATTGTTCAGACAATGCCAAACACAGATTCATGGACCCAACCCCAAAATTGTTGGGACATAGTTTTGTTCAGTTGAGTTTACAAACAATAGTTTTGTTCAGTTGAGCTTACAAGCCTAAATTGGTTCTTTCCACCCCCCCCCCCCCCCCCCCCCC